ACCCCGGGTCTAGGGCATGGAAGCCCACATTCTACCACGGAGCAGCACTTCACTGTTATCACTTCACTGGAATGGGACAAAAAGTCAATGCAAACTTAATTTCCATCTTAAACAGATTGTATTCATATATGTATTTGTGGAGGAAGGGATGGATGCCTGTGTGCCATCATACAGGTGTGGAGGTCGGTTCTCTCCTACTGTGTGGGTGCTGCGTATTGAAGTTCAGCTGTCAGACTAGGTAGCAAGCACTTTTGCCTTCCGAGCCATCTTACCAACCCTGTCGGCAACTTTTAAAGATAAAGTGCATCTGCAGATTTTATTTGGAAAATGAAAAGAACTAGCAATGTCAGTAAAGTTACTCTCAGAGTAACTTTATGACCTTTCAAATGCATTAATACACAAGCAATATGTAAACAATACACTGTCCAGATGTACCATAGCAATCTGTTATAGGAAACTGCAAGGTAGGCATTTTTGTCTCCACTTGTCTGTACAGTCAAACTGAAGCACGGGGTGAATGGGAAGGGTGAAGCAGTTGCAGGGTATTCTGGAATCATGAACTTGAGGTTAAAACAAGCAAATTAGAGAGCAGATTCTTGAATCTGCCCTGTGAATCTCTCTCAGGGTTCCCCCTTGCTCGAGGTGAAGAGGACAATGAGGAGGCTCGATGTGCATCTGCGTTCTTTGCAGAAGTTTCACAGTACACGGATGGGTGAGTAGCTGTCCACTGGCCAGTCTGCCTAGGTGTCCCTGTGGTAAGTCCGGATCTTTGTTCAGGAGTTTGTCAGGGCAGCCATTTTCTTGTTTTAAAATCAGATAAGGCCTTTTAGTTTGTGGTTTTATTTATAGGATAGGCTTATAGTAAAGAAAATTTACTTCAATTTTTACCTTGAAGTGAAAGGTAGTAGATTAGAATTGTTTGTTGTATTTGAGACTGGTGAGCTTGACAACATTTTCACTTTTGAGCTATTATTCTTGGAACACAGGCAAGAATGACAGCAGTTTAATAATCGGCAGTGTTGAGAATTTAAATAAAAGTCGAAAATAAGGTGCCTTGAAGTCCATAGCTTACATTAGGACTCACACTTTGAATTGTACCATTGCAGTATTACATGCAATGGTTTCGTTATCCTACAGATCATCTGTCAGTTTTAATATAGGCACTAGGAACATACTCATTTTTTAGCAAATCCCTCAGTAATAATGCAGAGAAAATGAAAGCTTTACATTGCAGGGAGTATCTTGTGAGAGTCTAGATACTGTAAAATGCTTTTTTTTTAAATTAACTTTTTGTTTTTGTTTTGCTTTGTTTTTTATCTTCACCTAAGAAAAAAGAGAGGAATGATCTGCTTTCAGAGGCTGGGTGCTTAGCCCTTGGCAGAGTGTTTGCCTAATGATGTTCATAGAGTTCTGGTTTCAATGCCTAGCATTGCCAAAACAGGGGGAAAAAAGGGAAAGAAAAACCCTACCCGATGAAAAAGATTGTAAAAGTTGTTGTTCCCCTTAGAAAATGTATACTAAATACTTTTTAAAAAAATGCTTAGAAATTAAATCATTAACTGAATGTGATTTTAGCAGGGGTTGTATTTAAAATCTGGTAAATGTTCTGTTCTGGATTTATTGTGTCCTAGCCTCATTGGCTGTGGCATTCCCGGCTGGTATCTGTGGGTCTCGCTGAAGAATGGCATCACCCCTTATCTTCGCTGTGCTGCATTGTTTTTCCACTACTTACTTGGGGTGACCCCACCCGAAGAACTGTTTGCCAGTAAGTAAGAGCTAA